GTATATATATACAGAAATCCAATCGAAATTTAGAAAAAAAATGGATGTGTAATTGAAACACAAGAAAAAATTCAAACAAAACCAAATTTCAAAACAAAGGCAGTTCTGAACAACAACTAAAAGCGCTATATTGCACCATGAAAATTAATTGCGATAATCTTTTGAAATTTATATATGAAATCAAGTAATGCAAATTTAAATGATAAATTTCAAAGGAAATAGTGGTTGATTTAGAAAACTAAATCAAAAAAAACCCAGTGTAATAATATTTGGTGTAACAACTGTTTAATGATTCTGATCAAAACAGAGGTTATATGCAACCGAAAAATTTTTAAGAATATAAATATATATTTTCAGAAGCACTTTTATACGTATTTAGACAGAGGCAAAATCAACCAAACACACCGAATGCTGCTGCTCTTAATTAATTCGAAAACCAAAAATATCTCGAAATTGAAACATAGAAAATATGAAAATATTTCGATATATTTTTAATAAAGGATATGATTGAACATAAAGGGAAAAAATAAAAGCTTGTAATAAAATATTAAAAAAATCTTTAAATTTAAAAAAAGAGCTATGACTAGTTTCTTGATTCCAAAGCTTTTGGGTAAGGTTAGTATTGAAGGAAAAAAAATGAACCAAAGAAATTAAGAAGTGTGAGAGTAAGAAGCATAGTAAAGAGGGAAAATGTTACAAGAGGGTTTCTCTTTTGTTTGCGCTTAGAAATTGTTATATGGCTGGTGCAAATCGGTATAAAGAGATAAAGAAAAAAAATCAATTCTCAATTAAAGTGAGAATAAGCAAATTATAATTAGGTTTATTTCCGTTTCTCCGAAGTGGCACCAGAATAAATAGATAATAATTCAAAGAAGAATCTTCGGATTTTTTTTGAAGTTTTGCCGCTCACGGAATTTTATGTTAGAAGAAGTGTTGCAATCTATGAATATTAAGATTCCAGTAAGAATAAATGAAATGTCAACTAATTAGGTTCAGGAAACTTACCAAAGAAATTAGAAAAAAATAGTTTGGTTAATATAAAAAATTTAAAATTACTCAAACACCTCAGAAAATAATTTTTCAAGACTGGATTACGATTCCAAACTTTCAGTGGGTGCTGATGGGGACAAAATGGCCGAGGAATTTTATTTGTGAAACCACCAAATCTCGCTAACGCTACCAAAACGATTCATAAGCGAAAGAAAAGTCCAATAAAAGCAGCAAAATGACAAACTAGCTGATAAATAACAAGTTTGCTTACAAATATTCCTCCAGTAGATGGCGCTAATTATTTTTTTATCATTCGATATATTGGATATAATTTATGTTTAATGGATAGATGTGAAAAATCATGCAAAAAAACTCCTGGCAAGCACCACTCTACAGTATCTGTGCGCGATCTTTGGCATTCTCCTGGTCCGTGAACTTTATCACACTTCATGCAATTATATTTTGCATTACAATTGCGTGCAACGTGACCCCACCTCTGTCATCTACAGTGTTGCCAAAACTTCGATGAGGAAAAATGCTAGATTTTGTTGAAAAAAAATGCTAGAAAGTGCTAAAAAATGTAAAAAAGTGCCAGAAAAAAGTGCTAACAATTACTAGAACAAAATTGTTAATATTTAATAATGAAATATTAGTCAGAAACCCCATTTATTCTTAACGGTTATTTGTTGTCGATTTAACCATGTCCGTCCGATTGAGGTCGCAATATTTAAGACAGAGCTTTGGAATTTTACACATACGTTGGTACTACTCCTATGAGATTTGATATTGGAAATGGAATACATCGAGATTCCCGCTGAATTTAAAACTTGTTTTCAGAAAGTTCCAATATAATTCATGTTCATTATTATTACATCGCTCTCATAAAATGTACAACTTAATTTGGTTTTTCATTTTCCCAAACAAACAATCTACCAACAGATAATGTCATAGTCACCCCATGAAGTACCCGACCATTTTTTAAGAAATTTGGAATGCACGGCACATGCTGGATAGCATTGGAAAATTAAATTCATCGCGTAAAACATAGCGAAAATTCAATGCGTCAATATTAAATCGAAAAACGGGATTTTTTGGATTGAAACCAATTTTGTAAAAAAATTCCTAAAAAATTAAAAAATGCTAAAAAAGTGCTAGGTGCTAGATCAATTTTTTTGGTGCTAACCGAGTTCAAAAAGTGCTAAATCTAGCACTAAAAGTGCTAAATTGGCAACACTGGTCATCTATGACATTGAATATCACCTGATTTATTCTTTGGGTTTTCTCAGTAGATTTTGTCGCCAAAATTTTTGCCTGGCAATAATGATACTAAAAATAAGCCTGTGTCTATGATACTCTTAATTGACTTTGGCGTTAAAAATTGGTTACCGAAACCACAATATTGGGAACCACAATGTCTAATACGGCCTTGACCTCACTGGGATCGTAATATGACTAAACCGACATGCTTCATTTCCTTTGGAGTGAAAGAGTAAGAGTGGATCTCCTTAGCTCTCAAGATCGCCATCATCGAAGTGTGGACATCAGGATCAGCAAAATAAAGTTTGCTCTTATTTTTATTTATATTTGATTTTGAACTCTGAATTCTTGATGGTGGTTCTCAAAGATTCTGCTAAGGCTTTGATGTTTACATTAAATACAAAAATGGGTGGACACCATTTTTATTGTCGATGTGGTATTCTTATTTTTGTTATTAGCAACTTCATTTTCTTTTAACATTGGAGGACATTGAATATCGACGTCTGGCAATACACTTAGTATTCCAAATTTGTTTTGATCATTTGGATCATGATTCACCAGTTTTTCTCGAAGCTCTGATATATCAATGTTCAGGGATGAATTTGATTTCTCAATTTGCATTCTTTTACGTTCGTTCGTTTTTGCTGTTGCTTTTGCTATTGAAGCAACAAGTGATTGGCTATTGGAAGTTGATGCCACCTCTTCTGCCACATCAAAATCCATGTCCGGTAAGGTATCAGGCATCATTATGCACACAAATGCAATTATGACGCCTGAATAAGTATAATTTCCAATAATAAGGATTTGATTTTTTTAAAAATTCTTTGCTACTTAGAAATATACGTCTAACCAATTTCAGAGTTGCCGCCTTTTTTCCAACCTACAATATAAGAGAACGTGAACTTACTTGATGATCGATTGAACTCCCACGATGAAATGCCTTGAAACCAACGCACTCTATCAACTGAATCCAATGAGAATCTCAGTCTCCTCCTTGGGCAAAAAAAAAAAAACAAACTTGTAGAGTGAAGGGGATATCGGTATGCAAAATGCACCGGGGAAAAGGGTATTACAATGATTATATTAAATTCATAATTCTATGGTATCACCAAGAAAGACGCTAATAAACATGGGATGATTACAACATCCAATTGGATAACCAAACAAAACGTTTACACTAATTTTAGGACATTTTTTATATAAAATTAATGATTTTGTCAGTGTTTTCCCCGCCAGTTTAATAAAAAATCTACTTGGGATAATAGGAGTACAACTATATTCACCTTTTGGCAAAAAAAAAAATAAAAATTTAGGTTCACTGACCAACAGTTTCCAGAAAATGCATGCTCAACCAAATATTGCCACGGAATTTATAAAAGCAATAAGGAATATTTAAGCCAAGTTTGATGCAATTTGGAGACATTTTTTTTTTGTCTCTCAAGAGAATTAATTAATCGTAGATTTCTTCCCATTATTCATTGTGCTTTGACTTCGTTGAATGTGGTTTTTGGCATTATATTGCGGTTTTACGGTTTACGGTTTTACACGATAATTCTTCTAAATGATTTATTAATTTTAAAAAATTAAAAATTTAGGTTCACTGACCAACAGTTTCCAGAAAATGCATGCTCAATTAAATATTGCCACGGAATTTATAAAAGCAATAAGGAATATTTAAGCCAAGTTTGATGCAATTTGGAGACATTTTTTTTTTGTCTCTCAAGAGAATTAATTTAAATAATCGTAGATTTCTTCCCATTATTCATTGTGCTTTGACTTCGTTGAATGTGGTTTTTGGCATTATATTGCGGTTTTACGGTTTACGGTTTTACACGATAATTCTTCTAAATGATTTATTAATTTTGCATTATGATTTACATATTTTCTCATAGAATTGAAGACAACTTTCTCCGTACATTTATTTGCTTACCCGAAATTATTTCTACATGAAATAAAGTCATATTCCTGTGATTGTTTTTTAGCATTTAACTGCATTAATATATAAATTTTTGCAATAGCATACAAAATTAATAACATAAACGAAAAGTTGTTATCGTAGTAAAAAATTTTACATTGTTGCATGTTCTGGAATATAAATAAAATTGGTTTCAAGCCGGAACATTTTTGAACCGAGCTTTTTTGAGCGCTGTTCAAAAGTGCCCCTCTCTCCCCTACCAAAACAAATTGTATGTATAATGTATCATAAAAAAAAATTGTTTTTGTAGTAAAGAATTGTACATTCTTGCAGGATCTGGAACACACTATATATGATAAATATTAATAAACAACATACTTGTAGCATATCAATAAGGTTCCGATTCCCAGAGGATAATACAATATTTCCATTATTTAAATATTTTTACATTTTACTCAAATGTTTTTCTTGGAATTTGGAGAACATTTGTATACCGTTGTATGTTGTTTGCAGTGTACGAGTATATCCAATTTATTTTATTAAATATAAATAAATATTGAATATAACAAGGCTCTCAAAAAATTTAGAATAAAAATAATAATTCAGTTTAATAAATTTGTATAATCATCTATTATAATTATTTTTATTATAAAATAATTGATATTAAAAACAATAAAGATTTAATATTTCTTCATACATAAAAAACGTGTGTTCCATACTACCACATTTTAGGGTTTTCTATAAGTGAAACACTGCGATTTTTAGTGTTCCGACAAGTGGAACACTATTTTAGTTTTTGTATAATTAAAAGGCACAGTTAAAACAAACGGACTGAGGCTTAGTTCAACCAATAATTAACTAATGATATAGTTCGGTTTAAATTACAAAGCCACTCCCTTAAGTCTTCTTGTGTATCAGCTGCAAAAAATATACGTTTGGTGGTTTTGTCTCTAGTCAGCCCGGGTATTGTGCAGTTTACGCAGAATGAACGTGGACGTGCGCACAATTCCCTAGGTGCCGGCAATAATTCGTTCTTTGAATGTTGCAAATACAGACATAGTATTGGCGACTCATTCAATACATTCTCATCTCGCCACACCTGCAAAACAATGCCGTCCAATATACACCATCGTCGATTCCAGCTATGTTGAGCATTAGGATCATTGAAATTTAAATAGCCCGCATGTATTATTTTTGGTATACGTAATTCGGCACGACCTTTTACTTGTATATCTTCCAATAAATTAGATGATGAAGATATAGATCTTAGAACAACATTGCACGATTGACTGGATCGTAGATAAATTCGATCTGACTTTAGTGATTTGTGCGATACAATATCGAAAGGAATGAAATGATTGCAATCCAAATTAAAAGAAGCTTGTAAACGAAACCTTGACACAATATCCAGTGATGATGACGATGAAGTGCAGGAGGCTGATTCTTTAATTTCCTTGAGTTTCTAAAAAATATTTAAATAACAAATGTAGAAATTGGTTTCTTAATAATTTATGTATGTTATGAATTTATTAAATTCACGTTTTTTTTTTCATATACTGATTGAAAACTTCGTTTAGGTGCAAAAAGTTTAGCTTATCCGAAGTTATTGTAATTGAAAATTCTGCATAATATAAAACAAATTTACTGAAATTATAAGAGAACTAATATACTAAATGGTACTAAAATTTTAATTAATGTCGATATTGGTGGATAGGTTGATTAGCTCTTCTGACATATGTAGATTTCAATGAAAACAAAATAATGTATATACAGAGGCGAGCAAAATTTTCTACTAAACGTCTAATTGGAATGTTTATTCACTATTTGTTAGATAATATCATGGTAAAAAATAAAAATTACTACTCTGGTTATCGGCCATTCACTAACATGTAGCAACATATGCTTGTACTTATACTAGTATGGCTGACTTTGGAATAATGTCATAATAATCCCCAATATATTTCGGGGATTATTCAACAACCTACCTGATCATATTGTTGGGAAAATATAAAACATCTTCCTGTAAAAGAATAAGAAATACTCACCTTTTTATTAAATTCGCTTGTGAGACAAGATACTTTTCGAAGCCGCAACATAAATATATTACAATGAATTTTTTCTCGTCCAATATCTCCACATCGATCTGTATGTAACATAAATTCCATGCCGCAATCACGAAATATTGCCACACCATTTTGACATTCTGCAGATTGGGTCGAGCGGATTATGCCACCACATTCAAACGTCACGATGTAGAAATAATTAAAATATATATCACGTGTGGGATCTTCTCGAATAGGCAAGTACATATCGTCTATAAATACACATGCAATTGTAGGAGGATCCATTGTTCTGTCAAAGTGAAAGTTCAAATATTTTCCTCGACTTTCGAGGCGCAATGCAGAAAATAATAATAATCTTTCGGCTTCAACCATCTCAGATGCAATTTCAGATTCTGGCATATTTCGACAAATGTTCACTACATGCAATAATTGGTCGTTAATGGAGGCGTCTTGACTAGCTGATATTAAAGAATCCAAATCAATATCAGACCCTACGGTCGAGTCTCGACAATCTGAGGCATTTTTAAAAATATTTGGACGCAACTCATCCGACTTAGATCTTTTAAAAGTTAAGGAATTAGGAAACTTTTTTGTATCTCTTTTTACGAAATTCTTGCTTTTTCGAAATGACTTGTTTAGAGCACTCCTCAAATTGGGCAGCAGTTTAGAAGATCCCAGACTTATTGAGTTGAACTTTATATCTGAAATTACATTTAAACTGTAAGCTCTAGAATTTTTTGGCGTCTTAATTTGGTGCATTAACATTGGAGTATTTGTATAGCTGGTACTATGGTGATCATCAAACTCCAATTCCTGATGCATTTCAGCACAATTTTCTTCCTAAATAAAGAACAATATATTCCATTAATTTATAATTGTTCTACTTGATTTCAGGATGGCATGGAATTTTATTTCAAAATTGTATACAGAAATAAGAAAATTTTTAAGAATAAAGTAAAGGGGTTTTTTACATTGTAACACTTTATACAACTTATTACAAACAAATGAAAATGAAATCAAGTCTAATAGGAGTCTACAAAAAATTCTACCTTTGTAGTAAATGTAGGTTTCTTTGGTGTACTCTGATTTTCTGAAGATGGTGGAGATAATGTATTAAACCCGTTTGAAGAATCCTCACTATCAGAAGAATTTACAGCGCATTGTTCGTCAACTGGGACTTCATACGACACTGCATCATGGTTATTTGTGTAAGCGTCACTTTCAAGATCTAAATCTTGGGATGATGATTGTCCACAATATACATTTGACGGTTCAGGACTCTTCTGAAAATTATATTGTATGAAATAAAAATAAAGTGATTACCATTTACAAATGTTCTTACATTTTCCACCTTCTGCAAATTTTTTCCATCCACGCAATCGTTCTGCTTTTCAACAAAGACCTGACTTCTGCACAAATTCTCAAGAAAAATTTCACTGCGATGCAAAGACAAATCGGATTTGCTAAGATTTCTTTGCCTTTTAGGAGGAGAGTTGTGTTCCATTACACGAACATTGTTAAGCGACTGGTAGTGTATTATCTGTCGTTCAAGCGAGGGCGAAGAATACGATGTCAACTCCCCTCCAGATGGTTCGGGTAAAGGTGATAACGTTGGCTTTTGCTGTGCGTTTCGTTTAGACTTAAGTGAATCATGCAGGATTTTCCCCAATGAAGCTACATGTTGTTGTTGAGTAGTATGCGATTTTAAGTTCTTATTGGACTTGTCGACTAAAGCATACAATACATTTGGGTTGTCATTGACATTAAAGTGTTGTATACCAGTGTGATTCTCAACATTTGGGCTTTCCGAAACGTGAATGCTATCATCATCTATTTCGGAATATATTGGTTCTTTGTCATACTTAACATGCGGAATATGCGTTTGTATTTCAACGGTTGGGGCGTTGACTTGTTGCGCGCGATCAATCTCCTAAAATTTAAAATAAAATTATTTTATTTTGTGTGGATGTATCTTAAAAAAAATATTTTTGTATATCTACTTTTTTAAAGATATATTTTTTTTTTAATTTCAATTTCTTTTTTGCGTATAATATGGATACTTGTACAATTTTTGTTGTTATATATACATATATAAATATATACATATATATATATATACATATATATATACATATATATATATACATATATATACATATATATAATATATATATATATACATATATATATATATATATATATATATATATATATATATATATGGGCAATATTGCAAATTTTTTAATATTTCATTTTCAAAAAATCAGCTTATTTGTTTTTGTGGCACATCAATGATTTTTGGTACACATATAGAGAAAAATGTTCTGACTCCTAAACTGTTCGCGACCAAATTTTTGGTTGATGCGCGCAAAAGTTATCGAGGTTTTAATTTTGGGCATAAGAAAAAAATTTTAAAATTACGCCATTTATTATATTGACCAAATACGTTGATATAGATCTTCCTCCCTAAAATAAGAATATGAATATATTATAAAAATCGGATAAAGTTGCACATCTTCGCGAAATATGAGAAAAATAAAAAAAATATAGCTGGTTACATCAATATTTTAATTATATTAATGACATACACACACCTAAAAATTAATTTAAAAATATCTACATAATCTCCGTGTAGCGGTTTGTAAATCACAGCGACAACAAAAGAAGATATTGAGGAAAAATATTTGTTTTTGGTTCGAAAAAATGTCATCATATTTATTTTTTAATTTTATACAAGAAATTTCAGAAAAAAAATGTTGGGGTTATTCTGCTATTTTACCCGAATTTCGCCGAAAAATTGGCATATAAAATAATTTGATGCGCATGCGGTTTCCAGGAAGTACTGAAGTTTATCTTCCAATCCATATATATTTTGCGAAATTTCATTAGACGGGTAAGATGTGCCACACGTTGCATTGAAGTACCCAAAAAATCGTAAAACGCGAATAATTTCCGAAAACTCCATATGCCATTAACGCGCATCCGATTTCGGTGTGCACCATAAAAAAATACATCGATCTATACCGATTTCAATGTGGTCCATTAAGAACCATGGATGTGCCAGCTCACACTATTTTTGAGATAAATTGGGTACATCTCTCTTTCGGCTGAAGTTTTTAAATTTCTCTTTTCGAAAAAGATCAAAATCCGTATGAGTTCATTTATTGAAGCGGAAATGATCCACAGAAAACGCAAAACAAAACGCAATATTTTCAAAAACATTTTTTGCCAAATTTCGTATTTTTGGAAGGCCAGTTCCCGCCGTTCTAGTAGATGGATTTTCACGAATAAGATTTTATATCATCCGAAACGTAAAAAACCTTATTGATCGCGGGTACCCATATCATTGAGTTGACAGATCTAAAAATTTGGCCGGAAAAATAGGTTTTTTAGAAATTTGATCGCTCAAAATTTTCACCATCGGATGAGTATTACTCTATAATTTCTTTTTCTACTTTAACATTGTTTGATGTATAATTCAGTGAGTTGTTAACAGCTAATATATTATTTCAGGGAAAAGCGCAAGAAAAAAACCCTTTTTGAACAATTTATACAATTATGATGATATTAAATCATTAATATGCGGGTATTGGGACATTTTACATCTTTCGACAAAATGTTCTGTGAGTCTGTTGATCTTTTTTGAATAGTCTCAAAACCTGACAAACAGTGTAATCCTTGTGTAGAATACAACCATGGAAGGTTATATATCACTTTAAGAACAAAGTTCTTAATAACAGATTTGTAATTTGTTTATGTGACATTTTGCAAAGGATGATCAAACTGGAGCACCATAAAACATTAATGGTTGAAAAATAGCTTTATATATAAGTTTCTATTTTCAATACTCATCAGCGTCGTGAGTTTGTGTATTTTATCCACAATGAATGGTATGTGGCTCTTGAAATTCATTCGGGTATCAAGCATGATGCCTAAATACCTAACATCACTTTTCCATAAAATGTCCTAGTTTTTAAAATTAATCAAAGGCTGGGGAAGGAATCGCGAACAGCGCTTTCTGCTAAAAAATATGGCTTCCGTTTGTCTTTGGCTTCCGTTTTGTTGAAAAGAATTTTCCATTTGAATAAAAAGTTGTCTAGCTGCATTAAGGCAGCTTCTAAACAGTCAAGGATATTACAGGATAACGTGCCTGCACTGAGAATCGATGTGTCATCTGCAAAAATGGAAGCTGTACATCCTCGTAGAACAGGAATGTCGGAAGTGTAAATGTTGTATAATATAGGTGAAAGGCATAAACATTGAGGACATCCAGCAACAATCGATTTTTTCTCTGAACAATATGCACCTATGACACAAAGAATGTTCTTCCACAGAAAAAACTTTGTATTAGTTTAATGATTAGCATAGAGAAGTTTAATTTATACCTCTTGTAGACCAAACCAATGTGCCATACATGCTGATTCGATTTGACCATACCAGTAGATTTGCCAGAGGAAAAGTTTTCATGAACAAAATTTCTTATTTTGAGGTTTGTGTTGTGTTCTCTCCTGAATCCAAATTGCAGAGGAGGAATAATATTTTTACGATCAATAAAATTAATTATGTTTTCTTTGATTATTTGTTCCAATATTTTACTTATTGAAGACAAAAGGCTAATAGGTCTATAATCTGAAGTAGAAATACAAGATTTGTTTGATTTTTTAATTTTTTTCCCCCATTTTCATTCATGTGGGAAATAACTCAACCGTAAACAGGAGTTTATAATTGAAGTTAACACTGCAATTCCATTAGGATGTAAGTTCTTCAAACAAATGTTATTTATGTCATCCCTGCCAGGCGATTTTCTTTTTTTCAACTTCTTCAGAATTTCACAGGTATTGTCAACGCGTATCACAAATTCGTCAGACTAACTTTGCTTTCTTTGACCTTTACGACAATTTTATCCACTTCATCAATAGTATTCTTATCACTTAGGTGGTATGATAAAGAATGATTCCTGTCTATAATCTGAAGAATTACCAGATTTGTTTGATTTTTTAATTTTTTTTGCACATTTTCATACATGTGGGAAATAACTCAACCGTAAACAGGAGTTTATAATTGAAGTTAACACTGCAATTCCATTAGGAGGTAAGTTATTCAAACAAATGTTATTTATGTCATCCCTGCCAGGCGATTTTCTTTTTTTCAACTTCTTCAGAATTTCTCAGGTATTGTCAACGCGTATCACAAATTCGTCAAATTCCTTTACGACAATTTTATCCACTTCATCAATAGAATTCTTATCACTTTGGTGGTATGATAAAGAATGATTCCTGTGAAAATGTTGAGCTAGTATTTCACATTTATCCTTCGATGTAATGTAAGACGCATTATTGTTTGAAATAGTGGGAATCTGTTTGTTTTTCCTTTTTAGAACTTTGGAAATGTTCCAAAACGGTTTAGATGCTTTGTCTAAAGTAGATAAGATTTCGTTCCATGAACGATTCCTGTGTTCAAAAAATTCTTTCTTAATTTGTTTGTTAAGTCGATTCATTTGGTAGCGGTCGTTTGCATCACGAAAGCGTTTAAAGTTTCTGGAATATATCGTCATCATAAATGCAAACGGACGTAACTACAGTAAAATTTGTTTGATTATTGTTCGTCTAATCAAAGCACATGTTCACGCAAAAATTTAGACACCTAACGTCAAAAACAGCGATTAAAGAAATTCAAACGGACCTAACTACAATAGCATGTTTTTATTAATGCAAACAGACGTAAAAAACTAAAGCTCGCAATATTGAAGATAGAAATTCTGAACATATATTAATGTTACTACTGGGATGTTTGATATTGAAAATGAGATATATCGGCCAATTTCTTAAAGTAGCCCCCATATAGCGGTACCCCAAAATTAGGTATTTTAAGACGTTTCTTCATTTTTTAACTAATCAGCTATAATTTTTGTGGAAAAGTATGCTGTGCAAAGTTCTATCGATATCGGAGAAATATTTAATGTCTTTAGTGCAACATTTACATAAGATACAAAATCTGGCATCTCTGCAATGAAGTGTCAATAAAAATATTTTGCTCCCGCGAAAATTATTAAAATTAATAAATAGCTATTGAGCAGTATAAAAAAGAAATAATTTTATGTGCAATTAATTATTCCTTGCAAGAAGATTGAGTGTAGTTGAAGGAGTAAACTTTTGTTTGCTTATAACGAAGTTTGTTGCAAAAGTAATAAAGTTATTTTGAAGAAGAAGAAGACGTCGAGTTGAGCTGCCGCTTTATGCTTTTTGTGCAAGAGGTCATCATACATCATTTTGCTGAAAAAATAAATTAATATATATATATATATATATATATTCTCTCAAGAAATTGCTGAACACCAGTTGGAATTGCATTTGAAGTCTTGGGCGCACTTAGTGCTGGTGTCATTTGCAGCAACATTGTTGTTTGTGTGCTGTTGTTGTTGGACTATGTTGTATCTTGTGCTGTGTGCGGTTCATTTTCGTGAATAATGCCGTCTACACAGAAAACGTATATATGCCCTACATGCAGCAGTGTGGTTAAAGGTAACCAAAATAGTGTTGGATGTTGTATGTGCGGATTGTTCTTTCACATCAATTGTGTGAATGTTACTAAGGAGCAGCACAACTTCTTATACAAAAATAGAAAAAATATGATGTTTTTGTTCAAATGTCCAGCATGTATTAAGAAAGTAGCGACCAATGAAAGCGATTGCCATGATGATTCTAATACCAGTAAAGCAGATACGGAGGGTGTTAGCGACGTGGATGATCTTGTTTTTGAAACAGTACGAAAAGAATTTGATTCGTACAAGTTATGCTTGGAGAAACAATTTGAGAGTTTTTGATGAAGATGAAAGACGTTGTCAAGACAATTCGTGCGGGCGTTGACAAGAGCATTCAGCAGTATGATGTATTTATGCGAGATTGCAGTAGTACTATAAAAAAAATTAGA